GAGGGATAACTTGACTTCCTCTTTTCCTATTTGGATACCCCTGATTTCCTTCTCTTGCCTAATTGCCATAGATAGGACTTCCAACACAATGTTGAACAAGAGGGGTAAGAGTGGGCAGCCTAGTCTTATCCAGTTTTCAGAGGAAATGTTTCCAGTTTCTGTCCATTTAACAACATGTTAACTGTGGGTTTATCTTGGATGGCACTTACTATTTTGAGTTATGTTCCTTCTATAATTAGGTGTTTGAGGTATAGTGATAGGTAGGGGTCCTGTTTCCTGGGTTTTTAGGTTTCCTATGTTTCCTGAGTTTTTATAAAGAAGGAATGCTGAATTTTATCAAAAGTTTTTTCTGTATCTAATGATATAATCATGTGGTTCTTGTTTTTACAAATTGTTGTACTAAATTACATTTATGGTCTTGCGAATGTTGAACCAGCCCTGCATCCTGAGGATGAAGCCTACTTGATCATGGTGGATGATTTTTGAGATGTGTTTTTGAATCCGATTTGCTAGAATCTTGTTGAGGAGTTTTGCATCCATGTTCATAAGGAATATTGGCCTGTAGTTCTCTTTTTTTTGTTGGATATTTACTTGACTTGGATATCAGTGTGATGTTAGCTTCATAAAATGATTTGGGGAGAATTCCATCTTTCTCAATTGCCTGGATTACTTTCAATAGGGTAGGTATCAGCTCCTCCTTGTACATTTTGTAGAATTCTGCTGGAAAGCCATCCGGTCCAGGGCTTTTTTTTTGTAGGTAGTTGTTGTGTGACAGAGTCAATTTCCTAGGTTATTATTGGTCTATTTAGTGTCTTAATGTCTTCTTTTTTAACCTGGGAGGTTGTGTGAGGTCAGAAAGTCCTCCATTTCATTTAGGTTATCAAGTTTGTTTCCATATAGGTGTACATAGTAATATCTGATAATATTTTGTATTTCTTCAAGGTCAATTGTGATTTGGTCTTTTGTATTTCTGATTGTGTTTATTTCAGCTTTGTCTCTCTTTTTCTTGGTCATGCTGGCTGGGGGTTCATCAATCTTGTTATTTCTTTCAAAGAACCAGCTTTTTGTTTTGTTGATGTTTTCTGTGATATTTTTGTCTTCTATATCCAGTATTTGGGCTCTATATCCAGTGGTTTGGATTCTTCTGCTAAAGTTGGGGTTTTGATGGTCATCTCTTTCCAACTCCTTTAGGTGATTTGTTAGGCTCTCAACTTGTGATCTTTCCATTTTCTTGATATGTGCTCATAGAGATATAAATTTCCCTATTCAAATTGCTTTCATGGCATCCCAGAGATTTTGGTAAAATGTTTCTTCATTTTCATTTTTTCCAGGAATCTTTTAATTTCTGCTTTGATTTCAGTGTTGACCCAGTAGTTGTGATGCTGTTTAGTGTCCATATCTTTGTGGGCTTTGGGGAAATTTTGTTGGTGTTGATATTTATTTTTATTCCACTTTTGTCTGAGAAGGTGCATGGTCATATTTCAACCTTATGGAATTTGTTCATGCTTGATTTATGACCAAGGATGTGATTGTATTGGAGTACATTCCATGTGGTGATGAGTAGAACATATATTCTGTGGTTGTTGGGTGGAATAATCTGTAGGTATCTATTAAGTTCATTTGGTCAAGTGTCAAGTTTAGGTTCTGGATCTCCTTGTTGATTTTTTGCCTCGATGATCTATCTATGTCTGTTAGTGGGGTATTCAAGTCCCCTGCTATAATAGTGTTAGAGTCAATATTTTTTTTAGTTTACTTAGTAGTTACTTTATAAATCCTGGTGCTCCTGTGTTGGGTGCAGACATGTTTAGGATGGATATTTCTTGCTGATGGATTGAACCTTTTATCATTATCTAGTGTCCTTCTGTATCCTTTTACATTTTTGATAGCTTAAAGGTTGTTTGGTCAGATATTAAGATTGTGACTCCTGCCTTCTTTTGTTATCCATTTGTCTGGAAACTCATTTTCCATCCTTTAACTTTGATTCTGTATGCATCCCTTGTGGTGAGATGAGCTTCCCTCATGCAGCAAATAATTGGGTCATGGTTTCTTATCCAGTTTGTCATTCTGTGTCCTTTCAGTGGTGCATTTAGTCCATTCACATTCAGGCTGATTATTGAAATGTGATTGTTTATCCCTGTCATGAGGTTCTTATAAAGTTTTTTGTTTGTTTGTTTGCTTGTCTTCTCTTGGCTTTGGGGTTGATGTATGTGTGTGTTTTCAAGTTTCTTGTTGTGTTGTATTCTTTGTTGATTCTGTGTTCTGCTGGTCTCTAGGGAAGTGTGGTCATTCTGTTTTTTTTTTTTTTCCTTTCTTTCTTCTGTTCTTAATACCTTTTTAAGTGTAGAGCTGGTCTGGAAGCTTCATAATCTCTTAGGAATTGGATGTCTGGGAAGGATTTTAATTCTCCATCACTGATGAAGCTGAGAGTCACCACTAATCTCTTTGAAGTTCTTCCTTATCCTTTTCTGGTCACACCCTTTGTCCTGAGGCTGGATCAGGATAGGGAGTAGGGTGCCTGTGACTCAGCACTTGTCAGGTCCCTCTGAAGTTTGTGCTTTCAGGATATTCCCTCTGGGTCATGATCAACCCCTGAGTAGTTGATCTGCCAGTCACAGAGATCAGGTCTGTTGCTCCATGGTGAGCAAGACGGAGCAATTTCTTGCCCCACCTTCAAGATGGTGGCAGGGTGCCTCTCTTGTCCTCTTTGGTGGGACTCTGCCTCTGGGCTCCCTCCGTAGCTCCTGCTGCCAGTGCCTGGTCAGGCACTTAAGTGGTGAGGCAAAGCCTGGAGCCAGCAGTCTCCGTGCTGCAGTGGTTGAGGTAAAGCCTGGGGCCATAGTCTCTCCCTGCCATTTCTTCACAGGAAAACTTTTGTTCATTTAAAAAAAATGGCGCTTGACTTCTGTGACTGGGAAGAGACAGGGACCAAGAAGCTGCAGCACCAGCTGTTGCACTAGAGCCCAGGCCACTTGCTCACAAGCCCCCACTTAGTCAGTCTCTCCCAGCACTTTCTTCCCAGGAAAGGTTTGGTTGATTTTTTTTTAAGTAGTGCCTAGATGCTGCATCCCAGGAATCACTAGGGTCCAAGCCCAGCAGCTGTGACACCAGCCGCTGCACCAGGAAAACCCTGGCCGTTAGCCCCCTAGCCCTCACTCACTACTCACATGCCCACTCACTCACCAGCACATACTCAAAATTTTCCATACACTCACCATAGACTCGCATAGTCTGATGGGCCCGGCCGCCATCTTCCCCACCTCCCCAAGTATTATGTTTTCAAGGAGTTTCATGCAAAAGATGGAAAGAACCCTGACAAGTACTCTTAAATACAGGTTTCTGATAACTTTAGGATCATATCATTTGGACTGGATATGAATATGAATTCCCAGAACTCTAAGGAAAAGACCAACTGATTTATAAAACTGTTACCACAAACATGACATAAATTAATTGAATACCAAGAAAATACTTTGCCAGATTTTCATGCTAAATCAACCAGTATTGAAATCATTTAGATATGCAATTCAAATGCATTATATGATTCAAATCAAATTAACTTTGATAACCCATCCAATAAGCAGTGAAATGTACCTAAATTGGAAAAACAAAATTGGTATTTCAGAGGACATAAGTCCAATGTTAAATGTGAACTCATAGAGAGCCTAGATGGACATCTGACCCATCCTGAGTCCCTAAAGGTTCCATTATCAAAATCTCTGCATTCCAAGACTCATCATGGAACAGATAAAATCATCTAAAATAAACTGTATTAGTGTGGTGATTGCTCTAAATTGCTAAAATCATTGTGACCAATGTTTGTTTTGTAAAATCCATTTCCTGGGAAGACAATCAAAACTTCAGGTAGATATCTGTTATCTGATCAGCCATCTAAACATTTATAGAGAAATTGTATTCAGTAGTCATTTTCAGTACATGTTTTCTGGCTGTACAGAAGCTTTCCCATGCAAGAGGTTTTGCTTTTCTCCCATAAATAGAAAATTTCGGTACAAGGAGGTCCTCTCTACTCTAACCCTTACCAAAAGGGGAAAAAATAGCCTAAGTGCTTGTTCCCACCTTATAAAATCCACTGTTCTGCTATTTCCCAGTGGGACTTTAGACCAAATAAATACGTTTACAATGGTGACAGAGAGTGGCATCAATGCCTAAAGTTTTTGCCAATCTCTCTAAATTGAGAGGCTGACCAAAAGAAGGAATTATTAAATCAAACTAAAATCTAACTTGAGAAAACCTCCCTACTCCCATACTTGAGTCCTCGTGGACAAACCATAACCTAACTTAGTAGGCAGGCAAACTGAGTACCTAACTTAGGAGTGTCTGTAACAATAGCTAAGTCTTGGTCAATCCTAGTATGTATGCTTCAACCATTCACAGGTAGCCAGCTGTTCAAACTGTGTTCAAATATGGCATATACTAAGATGTAAGCAATCCAGTTGTTTCTGATTCTGTTTTCTGTAGGTCATTTTCCTTTTTATGGCCATAAATTTGCTCTGACCACACTTGGAATGTCTCTGAATCAGCTGTGATTCTAGGGACTGCCTGATTCATGAATTTTTATTTGCTTCATTAAACTCTATTAAATTTAATTTATCTAAGGTTTTCATTTTAACAAAGTAAAGACTTAGATCTCAAGGCACTCAGGCAGTCTTATAAAATGTGCAATCTACAAGAAAAATGTAGTTATATATCTAAAATATATTATCTCTACATTGACCAAACTTCTGTAATAAAACAAATTTCAGATTACCATTAAATACTCTGATCTGTCACAACTTTCCTTTAAAAACTATATTGTTTTACATTTTAAACAGAAAAACAAGACTATTGATTTACAAATAAACTTATCTATCACTATTCTATATACAATATCCTTAATCTTATCATTTATAATAAAATTATTATTGTTCTTTCTATTGTTTACAAATGGAAAATAATTATATTACCAAAAAATAGTCATCAAACTATTTTGAATATTTTTTTACCTCATCAGAGATGACTGTTCCAGAGAGATCTATTGATTCCAAGGAAAAGATGTTTACAATATATTCAATTCCTAGGTCAGTCAGATGTTCACAATTTCTTAAAGTCAAGTAGTTTAAATTAGGGCAACTGAAAGAAATAGCATGAATTAATTTTAGCTTTCAGTCATATTGTCAGTAGCAATTTCTTCATATAAAAGTGGTCTTGGGAAAGCAAATTATATTGAAGCAAGGATTTTGCTTTTTGCAACAGTAAGCCTAAAAGTAGAAAACAGTTTGGCATTACAAAGGTGGATGAAAGGGAATTGGATTATTATATAAGAGTTTCTTTCTGTGATTCAGTTTCATATTTCATTATCTAATACAGAAAAAATATCCAATACATACAAAAACTACCATGTAAGTACCACAATGAGGGACCACTAAAAGTACAAGTTCTTCACTTATCCTTTCCAAGTTTGCTACAGAAATTGTACAAGACCTCTGACAAGGGGGAAATCAAGGATAAACTGACCAGCCAGAAAACCCCTTGGGAAGTACTGAAGTAAAGGTTTACATAGAGATAATGTCCTTTTAAAAAAACAAACACAGAGACGTCACTCATGTCTACATGTTAACTACTCCATGAATGACTCCATCTCAAACTTTCTTGTAGGTGAAACTAAAAAAGAGACACCTAAGATGTAATTTTAAAAAATAGTTCCATCTATTACTTCAATGTCTTTTATTTGTTTCATTGAATATTGGACCAGCTCCTGGGCATCTTCAATGTTCTCCAATTGTCGTGAAGTCTTTGCCTTTAGGTCTGTCTCTCATCTCCCCCATGATCAAATACCCCATTACTAATGATATGATGTAAAATATTGTTTTATCATACCGCTCAGATAGTTTCATAATAGAGAGATCACTCAGGTGCACACAGTTACTTAAATTTAGTTCTCTTATCCTTATGCTTGCAGGACCATCAAGAAATTGCCTTAGTCCCACATCACCAATTCTGTAGGAAAAAGTAAGAAAAGGTTCACTGTTAAAGTAATAGTTACTATACCCTATATATTTCCAGTATAGAAAGGTAGTATCTATATATTGGTATTTTGTCAGCATTTTAAAACCAAATTTGATCATGTAGATTTTAATGTAATAGAAAACATATAAAGGAGAGTAATGGGAGAAGTATTAATAAAAATGTCAATTTCAGTTAATTTTTAAATTTAATTAGGTGGCATAATTTTTAATAAGACAGACGGCTCTTAAGGTCTCTTTCTCTTGGATTAAAATGCGATCAGGTTAAGCAGTCCCTGATACTATCTCCTGCAAGAGAAAGAGAAAACAGGAGAGGGAGAACCAAGACTAACAGTCAAAATTACTGCCCCAATTTTGGAGAAATTTTTACTAAATACAAGATCAATTTAACTGGACTGGAAACTCAACATAAGACCTATGCCTCCTTTTCTTCTGAATCCGAGAAAACCTGACACTGGAAGAAGAACTTGACATGGCCTTTGCATACTGTCCTACTCAGAAATTCCTTCTGTCAGTGCCATGCCCCTTCTATGTCAATCATGCTTGATAAATGGTTGGATGTCTGTTTGGCCTGCAAGTTTTCTATCTTCCGTTGGGACTTTTATTTCTAATTCATTTGTGGACTACCAGATTCATCTAAGCAGCATTTCAGGAAGTAAAGCAGGACCTGAGGCCAATGCAATACTAAGAGGTAGTTTTCACACACAACCCTACAGGTGGATGTAGAGATGGGAAGAGTATTAGAAGCAGTCCATGCTGATTATTGACATCTTTTATACCCTTCATTTTTTCAGATTTGCAAAGAACTGGGCAGTAGAGGTAAAAGGTAATATCCTGTTTCAACTGAATGGATGCCTGCTGTGCCTATCAACTCACCTTCCACCTATAATATGAGAGGGGGACTGTGGCAGTACCTAGGAAAGCAGTTAAGGACCCATGGGAGAGGGAGTGACCTGGGGAGTATAGGGTAGAGGGGAGTTCAAATGCAACCAATAGACTTATCTATTGGCAAGTACCGGAGCTGGAGTAATCACTGAGAGATATTTTCACCAACAGGAAAACAAAATAAGGTATGGTATTTGCAACACTGAGAAAGTATACCTCTGGAAATGATGTAAAACAATGTGAAGGAAGACTAGAAATTAATGAGACACCTAGATGAGATACAAATAGAGTCTAAGATGCATTCTGAGATGATATGGTGACTGCTTGAGATAAGAAAAGATGGCAAAATAACTAAAGAAAAGCAATGACAAAAATAATAACCAAATTTAAGGCATCAGAATCAAAACTGACCCTTTAGAAAATTAACAAGTAGAAGGCATATTTGAAAAGTCTCTTTGGAATGCCAAAGATAAGAGTGAAGAATTTAAAATAAATGAGATAGAAAATAGAGAAATAAGATTCTTAAGAAAGATACAAGAACAAATAAAAACAAATTAGTAACCAGAAATATATAAAGCTTTTCAAATTGCAAAACATAATCTATACCACAAAAAAGAGAAAACAAGTAAAAATTAAATGGAAAAATAAGTATAAATAGAACACATAAGAGAGGCAAAAGAAGACTAAATATATCAGTTTTATAATAATGATAAATACAGTAAGTTGAAAATGTTCTTTATTGAAAAACAGAGATTCTCAAATTGGCTTAAAAAACAAAATCCAAATGGTAAGTAATCTATAAGAAACACATTCAAAATAAAATGGCAGCAAGAACAAAAAGAAATTGCGGAGATGTATTAGACAAACATAAAATTTAATACAGGGGTGGCATTTTTACTTTGAGTCAAAATACTGTGCTAGTAAAAATATAAAGATAATTTTATATCGATTAAAGTTACCACCCCAATGAAGATAATTTTATTGGGTGTGGAATCTTGGCATTATATTCTTCCCCCTTTAAAATAGTGCGCAGTGAAATAGTGTAGCTATTTTTAAAATGTGTGTGTGTGTGTGTTTATAAACTCAAATTATAATCAAGGAAGAGGATCAAAAGTCAATGGAAAAGATTACTGAGGTAATGATCCAAGTTAATTAGCTAATGCAGTTAGTCCCAAACTTTTGTACAGCAAAAGTATTTCTCCCCCCCTTTTTACATACACAACTGGAGTTCTATCCCTAAAGATTCAGACTCAGTAGCTCTGGGCTGGGACTTGGGCATCTATAGTTTTATTTAGCTCCTGACACACTAAGATTTTTACTTTTAAAACATTTATAATTTATATTTTTGTTGTAGATTCCTAAGTTAATTGCTTTGTAATGAGGGAATACAATTTGTTGATAAAAATGGTTGGAAAGTTATTGGAACTTGCTTTATAACTTCATGGATGGTCCATTTTTAAAAGGATTGATGTGTGTTTGAGAAAAATGTACATTCTTTGACTCTCCAACTTACTGTTTTGAGTGTATCACTTATAAATACATTTTTAAAACCTGAAACTCTGATATTAAACCTTCCATTTTTCCCTATATGTCATATTCTCATATTTTTCATCTTTTTTCCCTCTGCTCTCCCTCCATCCCTCCCTCCCTCTCTCCTTCCCTCCTTCCCTCCTCCTTCTTTCCTTTCTTTCTTTTTCAGGTGGAGTCTCACTCTGTCATTCAGGTTGGAGTGTAGTGGCACAATCACAGCTCACCACAGCCTCGACCTCCTGGTCTCAGGAGATCCTTCTGCCTCAGCCTCTCAAGTAGCTGGAACTACAGGCAGGCATGCATGCACCACCACATCCAGCTAATTTTTATTTTTTATTATATTTTTAGAGATGAGGTCTCTATGGGCTATGTTGCCCAGTCTGGTCTTGAACGCCTGGCCTCAAGTTATCCTCCTGCCTCAGCCTCCCAAAGAACTACAGGCATGAGCCACTGTGCCTGGCCTACTGTCATTTCTTTAGAGTGATCTTCCATCTTTTCTCATCTGTGAGTTCTAATCTGCTGATTAGCAATCCACTGAGTTTTTTTATTTTAATAACTGTATCTCTTATTTCCAAAATATAGAATTTCTTCAAATACATACAGCTATTTTATTATATTTTTTTGCTGCCTTATATTTTTGATTTCCTTATTTATCTCTTCAAATATTTCATACATAGTTACTTAATATTGTATGTCTGATAATTTCCATATATGAATTATCTAAAGGCCAAATTTATTTCACCATTTCTGGTGACTCTCATGATGACTTGTATCTTTGTGAATTTGGCAGTCTTTAATTGTGTACACTTATTTATTTTATCTTAATCTCTAGCCAGAGAAGCTCTGTACTAACTTCCTCCAGGAGCTTGGGTACTGTCTACCTGAGACCACTTTGTCCCTCTTGAAGAGGTCCAGATCCTGCAGAAGTCTCAGATATTGCTTTCCTATTTTGAGTCTTGCTCAGAACTGATTCTCTCAATAGCAACACTGACATGATCATTTATGTTCAGAGAAGGTCCACCTTTATGTTTTATGTTCATCTCAGTGAGTCTGTTTATTGAGAGGACAGTTCAGGATCAGAGGACAGGGGGATATTGGATATTTATGTTACTCTTTGTGGACTCACAAATAATTATGTCTTGGAGAGCAGGCCCCTTTAGTAACCCGTCAACATCAGTGTACCAGCTAGCATTGTTGTGAGCATCTACATTCAGCTTCAGTGAATTTATTTTTTGGGGGGTGGGGGAGGTTCTTGCTAGCCCATTTCATGATGGGTGACTTATGAGTGCACCTGCACACATCATGCTGAGTGTTCAGCAGTTTCTGACCAAAAACAGCATGACCCCCATGCCCTATCCTGCATATTCACCCAATCTTGCCCCAAGCAACTTTTTTTTGTTTTCCTGGATGAAAAAAAGTTCTTAAAGAGAAATGTTTTGCCGATGTGGAAGAGGTGAAACAAAAAATGGCAGAAGCACTAAAAGACATCAAAATTGATGAATTCAAAAACTGTTCTGAGCAGTGGAAAAAGCATCTCGATAGGTGTGTTGCATCAAACAGTACCTTGAAGGAGACTGAAGTTTAAACATGTAAGAATAAATAAACAATATTTTATAAATAAATTCCAGGTTTTGGGGGGTCCTCTCTTGAATTTAAGCCCAGAATTTATTTATAAAAAATTGTGTATTTAGCTAATCCTATCTACAGCCATATATAATTCTATTATATATATGTGTGTGTGTGTGTGTGTGTGTATATATATATATATATATATATATATATATATATATATATATTCTATCATACATATATTCTACCTGTATGGATAGGTGGAATACACACAAACCACATGTGTGTTTGTGTGTGGTATATATGTGTTATATGTTATCTATCACTATGTCACCAATTGACCCAAACTTCATGATTTAAACGTCAAGCATTTATTACCTTCCAGTTTCTAGATCAGGGAGTTGGAAGTGAACTAGGCTGGTTCTAGCTCAGGGTCTCTCATGAGGTTGGAGTCAAGATGCCAGCTGAAGGCTTGATTGAGGCTGGAGGTTCTGCTTCCAAGCTCAGTCTCATGGCTGTTGGCAGGAGGCCTTAATTCCTTCCTGGTTATTGGCTGGAGGTCTCACTTCCTAATCCAGGTTTTTTCCAATTCCATATTCTTAAGTCTCCCCTAGCCCTTGCTGACCCATGCTGCCTCCCCATTGTAATAATAGGGAACATAGGTTAAGATTCTATGTATCTTAGCTTATTGTTCTGACTTGTTTTCTCTCAAATATTAGCCAAATTCACTTTAGATCAAGTGCTATTTTCTGGGTCAAATGCTATTTTATTACCATCTATCCCTGTTAGATTACAAGAAATTTACCCAAGTAAAAGGTTGAAATATCTTGAGAGGTTTCAGCAATAATCTGACCCTTGCTCTCTTGAGACTACTAGAATAGTAGCCCAATAGTGGCTGAATTAAATAAAGGGTTTAAGTAAGAATTTATCATTTGTCAGAAGATATATACAGGGGTGAATTATAACCTGTACCCAAGAGGAAAATCTTCAGTAAGTTTGGTTCCTCATAAACAAATCAGTGAGTTCACATGGAAAAAGAGTCTGTTAACTGAACTATCTGTGGGAACCCTTACTAGGAAAGGTAACCCATAAGTGTTCCTGTGAGTTTCCTTAATCTTACAAGGATCCTGAGTTTTCCTTGCACCTTAGAACCAGTCTTGGTTGAATGCCCCACTTTCTTGTAACCACAAAACTCTACACTTAACTTCCACGTTAATACTTGGACTCTTGACTATCATGTTTAGCCCACTAGCCATGAGCTACTTGAGTAGAGGACCTGCCACACAATAGATAATCAATGTTTCTTGAATATATGACTGAATGACTCATTACCTTACACAATTTGCCAAATTCAACACCGTCAGTTGCTTCAAAGGTGAAAGGGACCTGAGGCTATTGTCTGTTATTCTTTTACAGTCTGCCATGTAAACGTGACTGATATTTGGATAATTCTTGTCTATAAATTTGAAGCATGCATCAGTAATCCTTTTATTTCCTGTTTTAAAAAAACAGAAGACAAGTATTGTATTTATAATGCCACGAGAGTAAAAGTAAAAACAAAATGCTGAACTACATTTTTAATATCACAGACCTTCAAATCGGATCTTTTGGAGTTTACAAGTAGAAAGAGCTTTGAAAGCACAATCGGAGATATGTGGCGCACCAATGAAAACTACTGATGTAATATGGGAGCACTTTTCAACCAAAGCCTTTAGAAGAAAAAAAGGTGATTAATTTAACCACAGTGTATAGAACAAGATAGCAAGGTAATGAGGTCATTTTGTTCCCCTCAAAATTTTCAGAAATAGACATGTTGACTGTTAAATTTTCCTAATTACAAAGAAAATGAGACTTTTATCAATATATTTTAAGGCACTAACATTTGAGTAATGTGGAGGAATCAGAACTAAATCATTTTATGAGAGTGTGGGAAAACATGAGAAAATGGAATGCTGAAAAAAATCACTACATTTGGCAACTTGACACAGAAAACTGAATTTAAAATCTGTACTTAGGCTATAAGATCCTGGAAAAAAAAATCCTGACTGGGAAACAAGGTCTCTAAAAATATTTAAAGATTCAAATATTTGGGGGGTTGCATACATGTGTATGTAAATTTTCAAATGATTTTCTTACTATCAGAAAACAACTAAAATGAAAAGTCCATTCATGTTTTTTAATAATTCAAGACATTAGAACATGTGTTCATCTAATGGGACTGAAAAGAAAATGTATTTTCCAACTACCTACTTTTACACAGTTGTCTGTCAGAGTTGGCATGTCATTGATGATCAGGTGCATAATTCCAGTGCAGCTGCTTGCAATGTTCCTGAAGCCTTGGACTGAAATCTAAATAGCATAGAGTAGGTGAAAATGATAGGAGAATACATTAACATGATATATAATAAAACCCCAGGGTAGTAATAACCAAGGTATGTCATGATTTTGTTACTATGATTTAAAATTAACCATAAAATATGGCAGACACAGAGGAAATGATCCCAATCTTTATTTCTTTTGGATTATTTAATTTATTACTGAGATGATACTCATGTAACAAAAACATACCACCATGTAAGTGGGATATGGTGGCACACAACTGTAGTTCCAGCTACTTGGGAGGTGGAGGTGGGGATTGCTTGAGCCTAGGGGTTCGAGGCTAATCCAGGCAATATAATGAGATCCCATCTCTTAAAAAAATTGTTTTTAATTTTAAAAAATCAAACACTTAAATTATTTAATCATCCATAATGTTGTGTAACTATGACTTGTATCTAATTATAAAACATTTTCATCACTCCAAAAGGAAACCCTGTACCCATTAAGCAGTTGCTCCTCATATTCCCCTCTTATCAGCCCCTGGCATCATTAATCTGTGTTCCATCTCTATGGATTTACCTATTCTGAATATTTCATATAAATGGAATTACACAATACTGTGGTCTTTTTTTCCTACTTTCTCTCATATAATGTAATATTTTTGAGGTTCATCCACATTGTAGCACGTATCAGCACTTCATTCTTTTTTTTATTTTTTAAATTTTTTATTTTAAAGATGTGGGGTACAATTCAGGATTAGTTATACAAATGTTCATTATGCAGGTACCCTTGTTAATGAGGTATGCTCCCCCTTGCTAGTTTCCCACTACTGCCAATCCTTTTCTTATAGTATTACGATAATTGTTCAAGGTCTGCTTATGAGTGAGAATATGTGATACTCAGTTCTTTGTTTCTGTGATAGATCACTCAGTATGATAGACTCTAAATCTATCCAAGTGCTGCAAATTTCATAAATTTGTCCTTCTTTATGGCTGCATAATATTCCATTATGTATATGTACCACATTTTTTTTTTATCTAGACTTCTTTCAATGGGCAGCACAGTTTTTGCTATCATGAATAATGCTGCAATAAACATGTGTGTGCAGGTATCTTTTTCATAGAGTGATTTGAGTTCCTCTAGGTATATTCCCAGTAGGGGGATTGTGGGGTCATATGGAAGGTCAATTTTTAGATCTTTTAGGAATTGCCAAGCTGTTTTTCACAGAGGTTGTACTAGTTTACACTCCCACCAACAGTGTAGAAGTGTTCCCTTTTCCCTGCATCTTCTTCAGCATCTGTTGTTTTTTAAATCATTGATGATGGCCACCTAACTAGAGTTAGGTGGTATCTCAACACTTCATTCTTTTCATGGCTGAATAATATTCTATTCAATGGAAAAAACACATTTTGTTTATCCATTCATCTGTTGATGGATATTCTGATTGTTTCCATCTTTGGGATATTTTGAAGAGTGCTGCTGTGAACACGCATGTACATCTATTTGTTTGAATACTAGTTTTCAATTCTTTTGAGTATATACCTAGGAGGAGAATTGCTGGATTATATGGTAATTATATGCTTAACTTTTTAAGGAACCACCACAATGTTTTCTACAATGATTGCACCATTTTACATATCCATCAGCAATCTATGAAGGTTCTGATTTTTCCACATCTTTACCAACACTTTTTTCCCCATTAAAAAAAATTCCTAGTGAGTTTGAAATGGTGCCTTATTGTGATTTTGATTTGCATTTCTCTAATGAATAATGATATGAGTATCTTTTCATGTACTTGTTAGCCACTTGTATATCTTCTTTGGGGCAATGTCTATTGAAGTTCTTCGCCTGTTTTTTAAAAAAATGAATTGTTTGTCTTTTTTGTTGTTGCGTTGTAAGAATTCTTTGTCTATTCTGGATACTAGACCCCTATTAGATATATGATTTGGAATTATCGTCTTTTATTCTGTAGGCTACCATTTGATGAATAAAAGTTTTCAATGTTAAGGAAGTTCAGTGTATCTATTTTTTTCTTTCGCTGGTCATGCTTTTAGTGTCATATCTAAGAATCCATTGTCAAATCCAAGGTCATAAGATTTATCTGAAATTTTTTCTTCAAAAGAGTTTTATCATTTTAGCTTTTAAATTTAGGTTGTTAGACCACTTTAATTTTTCTATACGGTGTAAGGTAGGAGTTCAACTTCCCTTTTTGCGTGTGGATATACAATTTCCTCAGCACCAAAGGGTATTCTTTTCCCCAATGAATGTACTCAGCACTTTTCTTGAAAACCAATTACCCCCCAAAATTAGCTGAGTGTGGTGGTGCACATCTCTAGTCCCAGCTACTTTGGAGGCTGAGGCAGAAGGATCACCTGAGCCTAGGAGGTCAAGGCTGCAGTAAGCCATGATTGTGCCACTGCACTCCAACTGGGCAACAGAATGAGACCAAGAAAGAAAGAAAAAGAGACAGAGAGAGAGAGAATAGAAAATCAATTGGTTATGAATGTATGGACTTATTATTTATTTCTGGACTCTCAATTCTATTTCATTGGTCTATATGTCTATCCTTATACTAGTATGGTTTTGATTACTTTTGCTTTGTAGTATTGATAGGTTTCTTTTCAACTATCATTATCCACACTGATGGAAAAGCAGTGGTGAAGTGTGTTCAAAATAATGACTGATTCAAAGATCAAAATATTTGCCTATGATGGATTACCCAAAAATAACTTGTTATTTAGGCTCAATTTCCTAGCATGGACATGGATGGGAAATCAGATTACAGTCAGATTCAGTAATGGGAAACTGAGATTCCACCCAGGAGCAAGCAGAACGGGGAACTCCCTCGAAGAATCATCTCCACAATGGCATGACAGGGAGAATGTGGAGCATCAGTTACAATGAATCTCTAGGGAGACCTTTGGAAACTTTATGCATACCATCTCTCACTAATGTGACTTCCAACATTCTGCCATCAGAGCCTCAACCTATTCAAAAGCACTAGCCAAAAGTTAGAGAACTGAGTACCACATTCCCAGGACATATTAGAGCTCATGTCAAATGTCAATTCCTAAGGAGGGGTCCCTGGCCTTTAGAGTAGACCAAGTTCTTGTTATATACTTAAAGCACCATGTAATTATCATAACTGCAATTAAATTAATTTTATAATTAGGTATTAAATGAGCTCCCCTGTATAGAAGCTCCCATCAGGGTGCCTATAGGATCAACTTACTAGATAACTGAGTAGGACTAAATAGGAGAATGTATGAATGAATTCTGAGAACCACGTCTATGCAGTAGATTCTCCTGCCCAACAGATACTAATAATATGAGCAACTATTCAAAAGTCAAGGGAATTTTTATAGCCATTGAAACACAAATTTTAAAAAACCTAACGGAAGCCCTTGGAACTTGGAGCCAAGCACACAGGCTTAATTTGCTACAGAAGCTAGACCTTTGGGTAGAATTATACTTGGACAATTTCTCTGATGAGCCTTTGGGAACTATGTTTCTAAAGCCTGAATAATGTCTCTAATCTACATATGATGGAAGGTAATACAGTTACTACAAATCATGTTTTAGGAGAATAACTTGAGCTCATGATACAGCTTAAAAGAAAAAAATGGTTATATAAGGCATTGCTACTCAAAACGTGGTTCATAAACCAGCAGTATTGGCATTACTTGGGAACTTGTTAGAAATGCAGAATCTTAGCCCACCACCTATTGACTTAGAATCTGCACTTGAACAAGATTCCCAGGTGATTCACATACACATTATAGTTTCAGAAATGCTAATCTAGAGGAAATGAATGCACAAAAAGAAGGTATGTTAGGTTTCTTCAGAGAAACAGAATCAATAGGATATATGTATATATACAGCTAGATTAATTTTAAGGAATTGTCCATGTGGCTGTGGAGGCTGGCAAATCTGAAATCTGTACAGCAGGCTGGTAGACTGGAAATTCAGGGAAGAGTTGCTGTTATAGTGTTGAATCCAAAATCTGTCGACTGGAAACGGACAGAGTTTCTATGTGGCAGTCTTGAGGCAGAATTGCTGCTTCTTCAGAAGACCTCACTTTTTATTCTTAAGGTCTTCAACTTGTTGGATGAGATCCACCCATATTATGGAGAGTAGTATACTTTACTCAAAGACTACTGATGTGTTTATCATATCTAAAATAAAAACAAAAACAAAACCTTCACAGCAACATCTAGACTGGCATTTGATCAAATTGCTAGGCACCATAGCCTAGCTGAGGTGGCATTAAGCTTATCATCATAGAAAGAAATATACCAAAATGTTAATAGTGATCATCTCTGAAGAATGGATAGTTTCTATGTTTTTCAAGATTTCAACAATGATCACATGTAACCAGAAGAAGAGAAACAGGAAAAGGTATCCTTGAGAAAATGTAGCATAAAGAAATCCTTGGACAGTTTTTTAATCATCTCCTGATGTAGACTTCTCCTTGCAGGAAACACCAATAATAAATGACCCATAACTCTTTAGTTTGGCTCATAACTCTTTCCTATAATCTGTGTTTGTCTTATTTTCCCCCAAGATATGATAATACACTTTAAAAATTTTTTTTTTATTTTAAAGATTGTGGGGTACAATTCAGATTTAGGTATACAAGTGATCATCATACAAGTTAAGTTTGGGCCTCCCTTTGGTCCCCACTTCACCTGGTTTGAGATCAGGATATACTCTTTTAAAAATTTCCTATTGTGTTGGACAACTACTAAAGGCCAAATGAATTAAATTTCGGAGTGGGACTCAGAGGCAAGATGGTGATGGAACAGGTCAGAGTGTAAGAGTCTCCCTGCATGAATGTCCATAAAGACTCTGCATAAGTGGGTATATGCTGGTAGGTGGGTGAGTGAAAGTTGGTCTAATGGGAGACTCAGGTTCATGCACCTGGGGCTTTCCTCTGGAGGTGACTGCAACCCACCACTGCTCTGAGACTGGAGACCCAGCATACAGGCTCATCTACTGTTCTGGGGGCTCTCTTTAGAGAAGGCAACAGA